ACTTCTGCTCTCCCTTCTTATGTGTCTTTATCTTCAACCTGGCTTGGACCAGAGGGCCCTTCAAATGGAGGATTGTCCTCTGAGTGTCATCAGTTTAAATAATTACCCCTTATGACCAGTACGGCCATAGAAAGTGTAATAGATTTCTTTTATGGGAGCACTTTATGCCTTTAGAACCAGTTGCTTCTAAAATAAGCAATGTCAATGGTCAAGCTTGCCTCAGGGTCATGCATATGGGTTGGGAAGCCCCGGCATTCATCCTGGGTGTTGCAAAGGAGGTGGCTCATTTGGATACTCAGTGCTGAGTAAACAGGACTCTGCATGTACTGCAAACCACTCTAATCAATTAAAACAGAGGCCAGGGTTAACCCCCACAAGGTCCTGGCTCAAATCAAGACTATTGTATCATACTAGATAATAACAGAGGCTACAGTCCTGGCTGACCCCTTCTTTGAAAACCTGGTGGTGTTCTTACGTTTCCCATTTAGGAGGCTGTTGCGCAGAATCTGATCCACCTTCATTGCAATGTCTGAGACATTCTGAGCAATTGCTTGGATCCTCTCCATCAAGCCAACTGCTGGATGGAACCTGAAAGTAGATAAACAGATACAAGCCATGATTCGTTCCTATCAGGCTTCCAGACTTGTCAAAAAGAGGGACAAGGGCCCAAACAGCCATCCTTCGAAACAGCAAAGCCAGTTGCCAAAGACTACAGTGCTGGCAGTGGAAGAGGCTGACCAATCAAATCCCTAGCAGTGCTTTTGTCAAACTAGAGGCAAGAAGGGCCTTAACTTGGGACAGTGGCCAGACAGGCACAATCACCATTTCTGTACCGCACACCAGTCTGCCCATACCTGGGACTTGTTCTGATCCTTCACAAGGATTGTCTTTTCTCTGAGCACTCAGTCCATGTATTTGCCTTCCCAACCATAATCCGGCCACCTTTAACCTGTCAAGTGACTTCCCATGCTCAATTTGTTGGATTAATGTACACGTAAAGATATTTCAATAGGGCTTCTGAGCAGACAGTCGTCTGCTTGCAACGGGAGGTATTGTATAGACACGCTGGTCAGAGAGCTGGGCTTGTTCACCCAGTGAGCACCACACACGTTCAGTGGCACATCTGAGTGTGTGAAACAGCTCTGCCTGCCCCCCCCCCCCGCCAAGAAAGGCTAAGAAGTACCGACTCCTGAAAGTAAAGGTGAGTCTGAAAGTGCTCTGATACAAATAAGATGTGCATTACAAAAGCCACAAACAGAAATGTGGCTATGAAAAATGCATGTAGGCAAGCTCCCGCTGGATGTGCTCCTGAGGTGAACTGAAGATCTTCAATTAAACAGTCATACAAACAAAACCTGCAATACCTCCCAAGAACATTACTCTGCCAAGAGATTTGAGCAATTTTAAGAATATAAAATTCTTACACCCATATGAAAGAGGCCTGGGCGGATCTGCTACTGGCTAGTATTAAAAAAATTGCACTGAAATAGGGATAAACCCCATTTTAACTATCACTTGGCATTCGGATGTCATGACTTAATTCAAACCTTTATGCTTGTCAGGGAAGCATTTGTGGCTTCCCACCTGCACCCCATGCAAAGCCCAGGAAGGCATCTCATGCTGAAGTTCTTTGGCGAATAGGGCGGCATATAAGTTTGCTAAATAAATAAAATAAATAAGTTCTGTTCCTGGTCTGCAGTCTTACTTAGAGCTCAACTTTGAAAAAGGAGCAGTGGAAGCAAGAAGCACTGAATCCTTCTCCTGTCCCAAAACCTTGAGTTTCAAAAGCATCCAGAAGCAGAGTGGAGGACAATGTGAAGAGACAGATAAATGGTGCTGCTTATATTACATCCCAGATAATGTTGGTTAGAAATTGCGACTGCTTTTGCATGGCAAAGTTGATTCAGTGTTGGAGGAGAAGGTAGGGTGAACTAAATGATCTATAAATGTGGCAAACAAAGGTCAAAACTATTTTCTGGGAACAGTTGATGGTCAATGGTCAGAAATGCTGGGAGTTATAGTCCAAACAGGCTGAAGGCATCTAGTTGGGAGCAGCTGCTTTTGGAACCAAGTACCATATTAGTAAAATTATGGAGAGATCTCTAGCAGAAAATGCCCTGTATCTGGCATTACAGAAGTGGTCTGTGGCTATGAAAATGTAGATTTTAAAAAATAGAATATGCATCAATAGTTACACAAACCTATACCTCTCTACTCAGAAGTAAATGAGAACACCGTTGCCCCCGTGTCCTACTTGTGGTTTCCCATGGGCCTCTGGCCAGCTGTTGGGTGAACAGAACGGCCTAGTCCTGATTAAGCAAGTTTTACACTCCAGTTATCAGGATATTTTTTACATTTGTTACCAGCTTTCATCTTGCCAACCTGTGCCTCCACCTGCACCTGTCTATCCTAATGTCTGGGTGCGTGCGTGTGTGTGTGTATATCACTCTACTGTCTCTGTACATTTCTTGCATCTAATGATGCTACACACTCTCAGTCCGCAATCAGCTAATTAGCCTTTAAAGTGTCACCAGGACTGTCTCTATTTTCGTGCTGCTAAAGACTAGCAACATTAACCCTGGAAGCAGCTGGCGGTACTTGTAAGCAGAAATTATAATGGCCATGTTGTGCGGGAAAATGTTTCCATGAAAATTGCTCACACATCACCAGACTTAAGGGGAAAGTGCCATGTAAAGGCTGATGTTCATTATTCTGCCTTGGTTATTAATCCATCCAGGAAAGCATGTCAGCAACTAGTTCAAGACAAAACAGAAAACAAACACACAAGAGAAACATTTGGATCAGTCTGTTCTAGCAAGGAGGCACTTGGTCTAAATGGGGATGGTGGAAAGGAGAAGCATAAAAGGTCTGCTTTTCTTTACATTGTGATGTGAAGATATTCAATAGCATTTAAACAGCAAATGACAACCAGTGTGGCATATGGTTAGAGTGCTGGAGATCCAGGTTTTAGTCTCCACTTGGCCATAAAGCTCACTGGGTGATTCAGGGCCAGTCACAGACCCTCAATCTAACCTACCTCACAGGGTTGTTATGTGAAGATAAAATGGAGAAGAGGATTATATAAGCTGCCTTGGATTCCTTACAGGGAAAAATGGGATAAAAATATAGTAAATAAATAAATGTAGGTCTGAATCAGACATTCCCTGTAGATGCCTTCCAAATTTAGACTTCAGCTCCTATCAGCCCCAGCCAACATGGTGGATGCTGGGAGTTGTGCTCCAAAACATCACCAAGTTGGGGAAGGGTGGCTTGATCTCTTGACTTTTCTTTCGAAAAGCAACAAGCCTGTCCTTCATCTGACAAAATGTCCTCTAAGCCACAAAACCTGTGCCACAAACATATTTGTCCATCTAGCTATGTGACTTGTAATGGCTGAACAGCAAATAAAGTATACTAGCTGCCCTTTCCTTTGCTGCAGCCGTCTGTTCATTAGGAAGGAGATGCCCCTGTGACAGTTGCTGGTGGGTGCCAAGTTTCCCCCAGGATGCTTCCCCTGTGATAAAAGAGCAGTCCAGTGACATTTCTGCTTTGTATTTCAGTGTTGCCAGAGTAGATCAAATCTCTGGATAAATACCACACTGACCTCAGTTAAAGTAACGACTGAGCAGTCTTCACAAAGACCATGTTCTTATTGTCAGGGATCCAGGTTTCTTGTGTAATTTCTCAAGCAAGAGCAGCTGGCTCTTTTTCCCCCCCTAAGATGGATGCAATGCGGCAAGAAGGCTTCAGCATAATTAAGATCATTATTAATGTGTACCATTAAGACTGGCAATCATAGGCAGACTGACCTAAGAGTAAGTGCAATCGTACTTCCTGAGACATATTTCTGGGTAAGTGGGCAAAGGATTGCACTGCCAATGGTTTTGAGATGATGGGATGGAGCCTCTTTAGCCACTCCTGCGTGGGCTACAGGACCTTGCTCAGAGTTCAACGAAGAGCTGAATACCACAGGCCAATATGCGTGTGCTCAGAAGAGAGAGTGCGGTTGCCCTCATGTCTTCATTGGCGCTTTCCTGTGGGCATCTCGCCAGCTGTTGTGTGAACAGAATGGCTTTCATCTTGATCCAGCATGGCTCCTTTCGTAAGTTAAGCCCCACGGTTTGTAAGCTGTTGCTGAATTTTAGGAAAATCATATATCATCGCATTTAATGCATTTCTATTCTGCCCATCAGCCAAAGCTCTCTGGAAGGTTCACAGAAATCAGAAATCTTAAAAAAAATGCAATAATGTACATAATTTAAATATAACTCACCAGTAAACATATAAACAGATAGAGACACTCACACAGAGAAATTTTTAACCATAAACCAAAAATTCCCATGACCTGATTAAACATTTTATGTGCTGCCACATGCCTGCGGATAGAAGAAGACCTGGTTCTCACAAGTTAATGCTGGAAAGTTAAATTACTGAGGGGCCACCATCAAGAAGGCCCTGTCCCCCTTGTTGCATTCCATACCTCCCTCAGAAGAAGCATCTGGCGGACAGCCTTAGAGGATAAGTGTAGTTTACAGAATGGTTCACGCCTGGAAATGTGCTCCATCAGATATCGTAGCCCAAGCCACATAAGGCTGTACAGGTCAAAGCTAGCACTTTGAATTGGGCCAAGAAATAGCCAAGCTGCCAGCTTAACCAGGCTAGTATTGGACTTATATGTTTGGACCTTGTCCACGTTATCAAGCCAGCTGCTGTATTTTGCTCAAGTTGTAACTTTTGAACCATCATCAAGGATAGCTCCACATGAAGCTCATTGCAGTGATTCAACCTGGAGGTTATGGGAATCTAGATGACTGAAGCCAGACGGTCCCTGTCCAGATAGGGGCATAGCTAGGCAACAGGCCAAAGCTGGCAGAAGGCACTCTGTGCCACTGAGGCCACCCAAGGCTCCAGTAACAAAGAGGGCTCCAGGAGACTTCTCAAGCTGTGGAGCTGCTCTGTCAGTGGAAGTGCAATCACATCTAGAACCGGTTAAACACGCCCCATCTGGTCAGAAGAATCCCCAAGAAACTGCTTCTGGCATCCATCAGTTGTGCATGCGTAGCTTATCAGGAGTAAACAAATCTTCTGATAGTGTTGCTTGCCTGGCACTGGAAGCAGAAAACCTGAGATGTGAAGTACAATAAACAGCTAGTGGGCTGGATTTGGCCTGATGGGCTCCACAGTTCTGAAGATCTTGATTAGAGGTTATCCACTGATATAATACTGATTGGTTCTTCTTACCCTGAAACGCTGCCAACAGGCCATCTAAATTCAGCCAGTGAGTTAAGGAAGCCGTGTGCGTTGCAAACATTACCTGATGTATATAGGTACAATCCTATGCATGTTGAGGGGAGGGAGAGGAGAGGGAGACATCCTATGATTTCCAGCATGACTGAGCCAGCATGAGTGGCTGGGAGATGGTTAGATACATAGAACACAGAAAAAGAGTGACTCAGAAGGGATCTCCTGGGCCATCTAGTCTGACCCCCGGCCCCACTCATGACATGCCTACCATGTGCATGTTCAGCCTATCCTTAAACAGGTTGTAGAAATCTTCTCTCTAAACATGTGTAT